CTCAGGGCAGTTGAGCACATGGGGAATGGGCTTCTTGCAGCCTTGAGTGGGTCTGCTATTGAGAAAGCCCCATGATCTCTGGGTGACCTGGCTGACTTCTCTCTCCAGGAGCATGACCTTCACATAAACAGTATGAACCACATTCTGTTATCATTACCTGGCAGAATGTTTCACTGTCTTGGAAGCTACATGCATCCACCCAACAGTGTGCAAAGCTTCAGAGAGCCTGATTCCAGTTCTCACGCTGTCTCCATTTTGCCATGTCCTTGAACAAGTTACTCAAAGCATTGTTTTTCTCATCTATCAACTGTTCCGAGGATGTAATCACTGCCAGTGTGTGAGCGATGTGAAGCTCCAAAAGTGCCCACAGAGGCAAGCCTCCACATTTCACTCAGCTCTCTGGCCCGTAAATGAGGTCCTAATTTGCATCATCTGAGATGTTCCTGCTCTGAGACTTCCATGACTCGTCAAACTCCACACAAACCTCTCCAACATCTTTACCTCTTCAGCTACACCCTGAAGCTCCTCAGGAGCTGGCCATTTTTAGATCTGCACTGCTGCATATGACAATTATACCTAAGAATGACCAGCCCATTTCCTATAAAAAGATGTTTTGCTGTATTCTCATGAAATTGTACATATCACAAGAATCAGGACCGTGGTTTCCAGAATCCTGCTTTCTATGGGAACACTCTGAAGTGCTGTTTAAGTTAACAAGATACATTTTATTTATAGTGTCAAAACTTGAGGGGTAAAACATGTAATTTTCTTCTTTATCTTAAAATGCTACTGCCTGGGAAATACACAGAGAAGCAGCTGACTGGGAGTACTTTCCTTTAAAACTGATGTTATCATGGCAACTCAATACCACTGACATTACAGCATTATTGCTTTACCTTGGAGACACATGTCTTAACAAGACTTATGTTTTGCTTGGGGGCAATAAACCCTGAGTCACAATCCACCAAATCAAAAATAAAATCCCCCATGTGGAGGTACTTTTTTCTGATCTGTAAGTTAGAAGCAGTTCCTTTCATGTGAAGGCAAATAAGCTAACACATTTTAAAAAGACTTAATAAGCACTTAAAGGACTCTAATCTTAATCTTACTTAAACTTGAAATCCCTACTCTTAGTGAGATTTTTCTGAATACTGACTATTATATTGATGCGCCTAACTTAACAATTATAACATATCAATAGTTAGGAACTTTGAGATCTTCAACTCGAATATGTATTATGTCTCATTTTCATGACAGCTTTTGCTAAAGCCTAATACTGAGTTAAGGTAGGATGATGAAGCTAAGTCACCTTTCTCACAATGTAAATGAGGTGTCAGTTTTCCACAACTTCACCATTTTGTCCAAATAAGTAATACTCTTCTCTCCCATGTAACTTCCTTTTCAAATGTAGCATATTATTTCACCAGCATAGGATGTAAATTCCTATGCAGTTATTTGTCAGTGTTTATACATTCTTTCGTGAATATCTACTGATTAAGAATATCTCAGATTGAAACTTAATCTCTATCAGGTTAGGGATGTAATTTAACATACTATGTGATAAATCTTTAATATGTGCTACTTGATTACAGTAAGCCTACATAGTTAATTGATAAAATATTTCTTATGAATATTAGACATTTTTAGAAATCAATACCCTTTAAAAATCTATAATTGATTATTATTCTTATTCGTTCACGCCTGAGGCATGTAGCTGATGTGTCTCTCCAGGTGGCAAGAAGAAACTTATTAATGTGTCCCAGAATCGTTGATCCTGGAATTCCTGGTATTCATGGAATACCTGGAATTGTTGAGCCTGGAATACCAACATTCATTGTTACAAAGTGATCATTCCTGCTGTCCTATTTTTGTGATTTCATAATGTTAAACCTAAAGTGTCTCTCTCGTTCTAGTCTCAAGTACCATAAACCATCTTATGGGGCTGAAGGTGGGGGAGATTGCAGCCAGGGACAAGGAAAAAAGTACCAGGAAGTATAGTCCAGTTCCAATTAAATAGTTGACTTGCATATAGTTGCCATGTTGCACAAATAATGATACAAACCTTTAATCACTAGTGTTGTACTAGCTACTACAAAAGCCATTAGCCATACATAGCTCATGAGGACTTGAAATGTGGTTAGTCCAAATTAGGGTGTACTCTCACTATGAAATTCCACTAGACCTTGAATTTTTTGTATGAAATAGAGAATTCAAAATAATGTCACTACCAATATTATGTTGAATAAATGCTGAAATTATAACATTTTAAGATATATTGGATTAAATGAAATAGATTAATTTTACCTTTTTCATTTCCCTTTTTTGCTGTGGCTTGCAGAGAGCTTAAAATTATGTTTCTCTCAGGCCATAAAGGGCTGGAGGCACCCTCAACAGCGGGGGAGCACCCTCTGAGCAAAGGCAGTGAGAAGAACTAAAGGAGAAAGCCGGCTTACCTCAATCAGGGGGCAGTCGGCCAAAGGAAGATGTAGTGGCAGGAAGACAGGTACAGAGCAGGTCTGTGATCCAAGCAGGTGGGTAAATGAGCAGTCCTGGAGCCCTCGGTGGCTTTTTCAGGCTTTCGTTGAGTTTACCAGGTACAGAGCAGGCAGGGGTGTGGGGGGGCCGGGAGGCTGGCAGGCCTCCCAGGCCCCTGGCGAATCTTCACTCTTTCTGGGCTCACTGGCGTTCTCTCGAGGTCTCGGTCTCTCCTGCTGGTCCCGTTCCGTGCTCCCGCTTGTTCTTCTCATTCTCATTCTGGGCTTTCTCTCTGCTGGTGGTTCCATTCCTCTGGCATCCCGTGATGCCACCCTTATGAGCCCAGTCTCTCAGCCCAGGTGTACCCACCTATGCAGGCCCACACCCCAATCCAGGTGCCCGCCATCAGGCATGCATTCAGGACCGCAGGGTTCCGTCATCAACCCTAATGGCAGAAGAGCAGAAAAGCCTGACAATCATTTACCCTACAGAAGAGAAGACACTTTCTTCTGTTTAGTTTGCAGTGCTTCTCAAATTCTTTTGAGATTGAGCAGGATGTGAAGTGACTCCACTGAATATACATTTCTAATATAAATGAGTTTATTCATCCCAGCACCCTAAAGATAATTAAGCTGCTAGAGACAAGCACCATCATTCCAGCAATTGATGATTCTAGAGCGCTGAGTGCAGAGCCAGTTCTGGGTGCTTTACAGGAGAACATTCTCAGCCGCAAGCCTAGCGGTGCTATTACCTTCATCAGACACTGTACGGGCAGGACTGGACACAGTGCAGGTTTCCTGATCCAGCAGACCGGGTAAAGGAGGAGTCAGAGTCCTTAGTGGCTTTTTTGCAGGTCTTTTTATTGAGATTTACCCAGTACACGGCAGGCAGGGATGCTGGGGGGCCGGGAGGCTGGCAGGCCTCCCAGCCCCCAGCAAGTCTTCACTCTATCTGGGCTCTCCGGCCTTCTGTCAGCTTCTGCTTCTCTTGCTTCTCTCTCGGCTTCCTTTCGGCTTCTGCTGGCGTCCCCGTGACGCCGCCCTTAAAAGCCCAGTCTTAGCCCAGGTGAATCCCATCTACCTATGCCCACACCCTACTCCAGGTGCCCGCCATCAGGCATGCATTCAGGACCGCAAGGATCCATCATCTGTCCTGATGGCGGGAGGGCAGAAAAGCTTGACATTTTCTTTACCCTACAGACACACATAGGTGTGAGACTCAGTGAGGCTCAGTTATTGATCCAAGGTCACGCTGTTAGAGGTTGTTTGGGACCGTGGGCTCTAGTCTCTGTTTGCCTTTAATCAGCCTCTAAAACAGAATCTTTTTCTCCACAGCAGTACAAGTCATCTCCAAAACTTAGTGTTTAGTTCAGTAACTTAACAGCTAAGGCATTAAGAAATGTTTACTGTCTCAGAAATTGGGGTCTACCCTAAGGTCACTGAATGATCTTTCCTTGTTTTTCCCTAAACATGCCCCCCCCCAAACAAACCTAAGTTCAATTGACTTTAAAATAAATATAGTCCAGTTCCTATTAAATAGCAAATATTAAGTAGCTATTTGTAAAGCAACCAACCCATTCCGGGCAGGTTTATGAACGGTTCTAGCAGCCACATGCTCTTCACTGCTGTTTGTAGTCACCATACTCCTCCGTGCACTCCACTCCTCTACCCTTAACACCGCACTCCCACCACACCGCACTCTGCTGCACCACCCTTATAAATCAGTCTCTTAGCTCAGGTGGACCCACCTACGCATGCCCACACCCTACTCCAGGTGCCTGCCATCAGGCATGCACTCAGGACTGCAGGGTTCCGTCATCCATCCTAATGGCTGGAGGGCAGAAAAGCCGGATAGCTTTTACCTTACCCTACACTATTTTATACTAAACACTGTACCAAAATACTGAAGAGAAAGATAAAGATGAGAAATTTGCGGCCTCCCTGGTGGTGCAAGGGTTAAAATCTCAGTGCTATCAAACTATTACAGCCACTGCAGCATGAGTTCAATCCCCAGCTGGCCAGGGAGCAACCCACATGGCACAGCAGACCTCTCCTATCTCGCCTGCTGCTCCCCTCAGCAGTGTGTTTCAGTAGATCCTCCTGTTCTGTTCCCCACCCTGTCTCTGGTGAATCCTCTCACCCCCCACACCTCTGGCCTACACCCTAGTTCTTGTATGCATAAATAAATAAAAAATAAATCTTTTTAAAAAAATGAAACTCCAGCTTACAAACAATTCCAGTCTAGTGGACGGAAAAGCACATTCCCACAACTCAGTTTGTTGAGGGTTGTGTATCCATGGTGTTGTGGAAACAAGAGGATTGGCACATGCCACACGTGGTAGGAGAGTGTTAGTAAAGAAATCCAAGAGAGGGATTGTGAGCCATCTTTCATGGGGTGCCATTTGGGTTCCTCAGGTTTTATTTATATTCAAAGAAGGCCATTGCTAAGGTACTGCCCACTTCTATGTAAGCACTGCTTCTCCTAAGTGGTTGAGAGGGTGCTTACTCTGTTCCTGTGATTTTCAGGTACCAGCAAGGTCAACCTCGTGAAGATCCCGTCCACGGCCTCCAGCCCTCGGGACACAGCCCTGGCTGCAGTTATCTGCAGTGCCCTGGCAACTGTTCTGCTGGCCCTGCTCATTCTCTGCATCATCTATTGTAAGAGGCAGTTTATGGAGAAAAAACCCAGCTGTGAGTTTTAATCTCTTTTTCTTAGCATTTTGGTGAAGTGTGCTTATCATCATTGTTACTTGATTGTTCATAAGAGACTTGACTAAGCCAAGAATCAAGTAGTTGTGAGAGGGATAAAGGGAAAATGGACTTCACAGTTGTCTAGTCCCAAGAGGCACAGAAGGGGCACTGAGGGATGGCATCACTTTATTGAGACATTGAAAAGGCAAGAGATGTCCTCGAGTCAACAGGCAAAAGTGAAAATCATTTTAAGTTCTGGTAATATAAATACCCTGCCTTTTGAGCTTTCTTGACAAATTATTTCATATCTGTACCTTTTTGTAAAAAGAAATATTTTAAAAGGTGGATGATAGCTATCTGTAAAAATACAAAAACTTTCAAATGATACTGGTCTCATTATGTTAGAGACTCTTTTAGAGAAGAATCGTGTTCACTGATAATTCTCCTCCCACTTTTAGGGTCTCTGAGAGCACATGACATTCAGTACAACGGTTCTGAACTGTCATGTTTTGACAGACCTGGGCTTAGCGAATCCACTCCCAGACCATGTTGCCAGTACCACCAGGACTCGGCCCAGACCTGTGGTAAGTTCAGCGAGTTAAGGGTCTATTAGGGGAACTGCAGGATCATAGACATGGAAGCTGCAAAGAATTGTCCCTGTTCACCCCGCAGCTAAGTTAGGGCTATAGTGAAAGATAATCTTATTATTCTCCACTGTCCTGAGGGACTAATTATCTGGAGTGTCTGCAAGTACTAAAAAGCAAATAAGTATCTCATTAAAATTCTAGAATTTTCCAGCACCTTTTAAAGAAGTTTGCCTTTCTTGCTTTGGGTCAGTTGATTTTAAATAGCATTAATCTTTTGTAGAACAGAAATTTGTATCCTTTCTTGTCTGATGGATTCAAACTAAATTTTAATATGTTTATCTTAATGTCTTTTTGGATTTCCTAAAGAGGGAAGAGGGTGATCTATGGAAGAGTGCTCCACAAACCATAACTGCTTCTCAGTTTATTGGAGAGATAAAAGTTTAGGTAGAGGGCCTCCCTGGTGGCCCAAGGGGTTAAGCACAGCACTGTGAAGCTACCTGCAGCCATTGCAGCATGAGTTCGATCCCCGGCCAGGGAGCTACCCACATGGTGCAGCAGACCTCTCCTGACTCTCCCGCTGCTCCCTTCAGCAGTGTGTTTCAGTCAGTCTACCTGTTATCTTCCCCACTCTGTCTCTGGTGGATCCTCTCACCCCTTGCGCCTCTGGCCTTTACCCCAGTTCTTGTATGCATAAATAAATAAATCTTTAAAAAAAAAGTTTAGGGAGAGAGGTAATTCAGATGGAAATTGGTTTCTAATTTGGGCAACCCTGGGCAGAGGTAATACTAACTTTCCTTGCCACTTATTTGTATTCATCAACACATTATACTCCCCACTCCCCTGTCCACTGCAGTGATTTCACCTGCTCTGGGAAGTAAACTCCTGTATGACCACAATGCTTCCTAAAAGTTTACCTCGACTACCCCAAAGTCTATAGTTGTCTTAGTACCATTGGAAAAAAATGCCAATAGCAGTATTTTTCTCTTGTACCAATTCTTTGCTTTAAGTTAAATGCATCCCAGTTGGATCGACATATACTTTTGGAGTTGTCCAATCTTTCTAAGAAATTGCATCTTTCTATTATTCAATCCAATATTTCATGTGTAGACTAAGAAATTTCAACAGCATTATTTTTTTAATGATCATCACCATCCTCTATTTTAGGAATGGGTTAAGAGTAAAATATAGGACTTTCTGTGACATGTGGATCTTCTTTTGCCTTTGGCTGTGTAGATAATAGACCCTCAGACAGTAACTGATGGTAAATTTGTGATCCTCAAGACATCCAAGTGTTATTTCCCAGATACTATACTGTGCCACTGCTCTAGAATCACAGTGAACAAGAGTAATTTGAGAGATAAACACAAATTTTAAATATAACATATAGCTTTGTGCAGTCTGCTTAATTTTAACTTCTATCTGAAAAGAGAGATTAAATATAAAGATGGACTTGTTGCATGTCTTCTGAAGAGGACACCATGTGAATGCCCAGGTTTAGAATAGTTTGTCATTTAAATTGCTTCCTCCTTCATGTCAGTGTCTTTTTTCTTTGAATTTTTCATTTTACATAATTCCAAACTCACAAAAATGTTGAAAGAATAAGACACAGAAATTTCCTAAATATCAGTGTAGTAACATCTTATCTCATTTCCATGTTTGCTTTATCACACACACACACACACACACATACACACTTTTTTCATGTCATTTAAGAATCATTTGCAATGAATATAAGAAAGTGAAAATCAAAATCAACAAAAAACTATGAACCAGAGACACTTTTTGGGGGGTGGGGGGCGGGAGGGGAAGGATTGGGGTCAGAATGGGGCGTTTGCAATTGTATGGGGGAATATAAAAATAAAATTTAAGATTAAAAAAAATAAATAAATAAATAAATAAAAGAAAAAAAAAAAAGAATCATTTGCAGATATACTGTCCCTTCTTCCCTTAATACTTTAGTGTTTGTTTCTCAAGAGCAATAAAATTCTCTTACATAACAACATAGAAATTAAAGGATTGATGTCTATTAAAAAAGAGAAATGTCACCCAAAGGAACATAAGTCATTTTTTTAAAAGATTTATTTATTTATTTATTTATACAAGCACTGGGTACAGTCAGAAGCGCGGGAGGGTGAGAGAATTCACCAGAGCCAGAGCACGGAACAGAACAGGCAGACTGACGAAACACACTGCTGAGGGGAGCAGCAGGCACAGCAGGAGAGGTCTGCACGCCATGTGGGACCCTCACTGGTGGCCAGGGATCGAACTGACACTGCAGAGGCTGAGGGCAGTTTCGCAGCCCAGCGCTCAACTGCTGCGCCACCAGGGGAGTCTCAGAACATAAGTCATTTTTAAGAGCAATGTTGAACTGGTGTTTAAAAGAAACTCCCCAGCATGGGAGGGGGGGGTGCGGGGGTGGGGTGGAGAACAAAGTCATTTTTCCTCACATGCCTCTGGCTTTTTCAGGGCCCGTGCACTTGATTCCATCCTTGTGCTGTGACGAGGCCTGCAGTGTTGACCGACTGACTCTGGGCTGCAGGGTGCATTCCAAGGCCACTCTCCAGGAGAGGTAACTGAGTATTTAAATCCATTTAATTTCATGTTCTCTTTTGTAAGTATGTATTCTACTAATTTACCAAATTTTATGTAAAACTGTAAGACTATCACTTTTTAAATTATCTTAATGACATTCTGGTCATTGGAGGGGGACTATTCTTTAGTAAGAAGTAGATAAGTCACAGTTACTGGTATTCAGTGCAACACTTTTCATATTTTGTACTCTTTTAATTGTTTTTATCCTATATTCATGATTTGTGACACTTATGTCCTCTATAAGTAATTATTAACATGATATACTTATAGATTTTTAGAATCAGATTCAAAGAAACTCAATAAAGATCCATGAAATAGCATATTTTAGATACTGGATTAAGCCTAAATATATTGATTGGATGTGATTCCATGTGTAGGTATGAAAATTCAATATTAGAGGAAATGGTGTAATTGAACTTGTTATATTGAAAGCAAGTTTATAACAACAGGAAGCCCCAGAATTTCTGACTTAATAAATTGCTATTTCATCTAGAAAATGTACAAGTATAGTTGGAGTGTTGCTTTGTAGTACTGTTTCCCCCCATGGAATACTTAAAGATCTCTTGAATATGTGTTCAGAAATGCAGGTCCAGTGGGGGAGATGATGCCGACTTTCTTCGGGTCCTTCACACGGTCCATCTGTGGCGAGTTTTCAGATGCTTGGCCTCTGATGCAAAATCCCATTTGTGATGATGACATCTCCTTTTGTGATTCTTATCCTGACCTCACTGGAGAAGATATTAATTCTCTCATTCCAGAAAATGAAAGCTCAACTTCCTTGGATTCAAACAGTAGTCAGGATTTGGTTGGCGGAGCTGTTCTAATTCAAGCTCATTCTGAAAATGTTACAAAAGCTACTGATTTCTCTAGACATAACAACTCACAGAGAGAACCAGCATTATCTCAGGATCCACTAACTACTAAAAGCCAGCTAGATCAAGAAAGAGGTGATATCATTAACCTAACCACTAAAACATCCATCCAGGTAAGGTGATAAAGATTTCACTGCAGACATACAGCATTGACTTATGGTAAAACTTATGGAATGGAACTCTATTCTGACTTTAATGTGAGGAACTGAATCTTTCATAGCTTCTTATGTGTTATAGGGGAATATATTTGAAGATAAATTTCAGGAATTTTTTTTCTTCCTACCTCCATCCTTTCTACCTCCTCTCTTTTTCTCCCTCCCTTACTCCCTTTTCACCTCAGAACTTCATGGTTTTTATTAATGTCTGGTAGTTTCCAAAAGTATTTTACTTTGTCCAATTGTCCATTATGTAAATGTCCAGTATTTGTTTTTGTCTTTCAGACTTGCTTTACTACACATAATTCTCTCTGTTTTGCTGTACATGACTGTATTTCGTTTTTCCTTATGGTTGAATTATATTCCACAGTGTGGATACTACATCTTCCTGATCCAGTCAAATATTGATGGGCATTTAGGTCCTCAATTCTTTTATTCTTTGTAAATTCAGCTTCATAGTGCAGCACCCCCACCTCCATTCCTAAGTAGGATAGATGAGTTAGTTGTGGGAGCATCTTGTAAAGAAATCATAACCTTCATTTTCCCTGTGATGTTCTTATGCCCAACACTTACAACACTTTCCTCCTCATCAGGTTAATTAGAATTTAGATCTCCTAGGGCTTCCCCTGGAGGAGCAGGCAGTTGAGTGCCGCGCTATGAAGCTGTCCACAGCCTCTGCAGCACCAGTTTGATCCCGGCTGGCCAGCGAGGGTCCGACATGGTGTGGCAGACCTGTCCTGTCACACCCGCTGCTCCCCTCAGCAGTGTATTTCAGTCAGTCTACCTGTTCTGCTCCCCGCTCTGTCTCTGGTGAATCCTCTCACCCTTCCGCGAATCTGGCCTATACCCTGGTTCCTGTATAAATAAATAAATAAAATCTTTAAAAAAAAAGTTAAAAAAAAAAAAGAATTTAGATCTCCTAAAGCTGCTCTGTCCCTTCCTCTCCCTTTTACTGTTACTTTCTAAATTGCTCAGCTTAGACTTAGTGATCAGTTTGGTTGGACATAGTTGTTATCTGGTACCAAATGCAGTGTAAGACCCTATCAGCTAGAAGGATTAAAGTCTGGTTTTGGGGGAGGTGATAACTGCCAGGAGGTGCAGCTTCCTGCCATGCTACAAAGTAGGAGGCAGAGTTAAAAATAACTGGACTCCATCTCTGATTTCTCTTCTCCGTTAGGATGTGGCATTTGCTGACAGACATTTCCTTAATGTATGCACATATATTATAGGTTATGTTTTTCTGGAAGAATGATGCTACTTTTGAGTCTAACTGGCAAAGTTGTAGCAACTGTGAGGTTATCAGGCCCCACAAAACCCTTCTCTGTACAAGCAGCATGGACTTGCTGCTGTCCCTTCCTTCTACTGAAGATGCTGGACATGCGCCCATGTGGTCCTCTGTCTCCCAAGAGGCAGTGGCCTTGTCTCATTGTCTACTCAGATAAGAAACTTGGTCTCAAGTCAAAGTGTGAATGAAGATGTGTTTCTTCTAAGAACAGTGTATAAAAGATAGATAGATAGATAGATAGATAGATAGATAGATAGATAGATAGATAGATAGATAGAAGAACACTATTTTTTTTAAAGATTTATTTAGTCATTTATACAAGAACCGGGGTACAGGACAGATGTGAGGGAGGGTGAGAGGATTCACCAGAGACAGAGCAGGGAACAGAACAGGGAACAGAGCAGGGAACAGAACAGGCAGACTGACGAAATACACTGCTGAAGGGAGCAGCAGGCACAACAGGAGAGGTCTGCCATGCCATGTGGGACACTCACCGGCCGGCTGGGATTGATCTGGCACTGCAGAGACTGCAGACAGCTTCACAGTATGGTGTTCAACCGCCTGTGCCACCAGGAGAGGCCCAGAACTCTATTTTTTAACACCAAAAATCCTACATTACATCAGATGATGGGTGCTAACTAAACTAAACTAAAACTTATTACAATAACTAAAATTATTACAATAATTTCACAATACATGTAAGTCAAGCCAATATGTTATATACCTTAAATTCATATAGTGATATATGTCAATCATATCTCAAAGAAATTGGGAAAGTCTAAAGAGAAAATATAGGGAATTCTATACAGAAAATACTATTGGCTTTGCAAAGTGCCGTTTTTTTCCTCAAAATAAAGGAAATGAAGATAAATGAAGAGGAAAATCATAATTTAGGCAGTTTAAAAATATAAAATATAAGTCTATAGCTGGGAAAGATTGTTTAATGATCTTGCTCATTTGAGTCACCCCATAATTTTTATACCTTTCATAATAATAATAAGATTTCAGAGTTATGCTAGCTAACTGTAGATCTCCAGAATGGATCGTGGCCACAAAACTTTGGGACTGAGGACTCCCAGGACCAGAGCAGGAAACAGGCCCTGTGCTAAAGGATAGAGGGCACAGGAAACAGGATGATAATGCCCTGCCTTGACTCTTAAAATTAAGTGTGTGTCACATTTTCACTACAAGACATTGAAGTTTCTTTTATGTCAAGTCTAATGATTGTGACCATTACTGCTTGTGTTGCCTAGCTGTGCCTCTGTTGTTCAAGGAAAGTCTGAGTAACCACAAGGATTGTGTTACTAACTAACTGACTAGGATTTTTCAGATCATTTTCAGTAAATAGAATTATCACTAATCTTAATTGTATAGCTTGTCCCCAATTCTGTAATGTCAGTTCTCAGACTAAGAATGAAACATCTTGTTAGTGAGGTGGAGGTAGAGTTGATAAGCACTATTATTACAGCTATATGAATGTAAAATTTTAGAAACATTTTCATATATGAGATTAGTATATAATGACATTAATCCCTTTCTATGGACAGTTTTCAAGGTAATTATGATCTACATAATGATACTTTCAACTCATAGAATTTACCAAATTTACCAAAATGATTTAATAATTATAAGTTAACACATTTTGGAAAGCTAATAAAAACCTAATAAAAATTCAACTTAAACAATAATTTATTAATGAAAGGTTTTTATTAGCTTTCCAAAATGTGTTAACTTATAATTATTAAATCATTTTAGTAAATTTAAATAAGACATTATGAAGTCAAGAAATGATTAAAAAGTAAATTATTCCCATTTCTTGGGCAGAAGAACTAAAAAGACATTTCTCCAAAGAGGAAATGCAAATGGCCAACAGACATATGAAAAAATGTTCCACATCCCTTATCATCAGGGAAATGCAAATCAAAACCACACTGAGATACCACCTTACACCAGTAAGAATGGCACATATCAAAAAAACAAGCAACAACAAATGTTGGCGAGGATGCGGTGAAAAAGGGACTCTCCTACATTGCTGGTGGGAGTGCAAACTGGTCCAACCACTGTGGAAAGCTGTCTGGAGATTCCTCAGTCTACTAAAAATGGAGCTACCATATGATCCAGCAATTCCACTACTAGAGATCTACCCAAAGGACACAAAAACAGTGATTCAAAAGAGCACCTGTACACCTATGTTCATTGCAGCACTATTTACAATAGGAAAAACCTGGAAACAACCCAAATGCCCAAAAATAGATGACTGGATCAAAAAGATGTGGTATATATACACAATGGAATATTATTCAGCCATCAAAAAAGATAAACTCATGCCATTCGCAGCAAAGCGGATGGAGCTAGAAGGAATTATGCTCAGTGAAATAAGCCAGAAGGAAAAAGAAAAATATCGGATGGTTTCACTTACAGCAGGAATATAGGGAAACCAAAAAAGATATCAGTGTAAAAAAAATAACAACAGTACAAACCACAACAAAGCAAAAACAGACAATTATAAACCAGAGACATACTGCAGGGGAGGAGGAGGGAGAGGTGTGAGAGGGAGGGCGGGAGGAGCACAGGGAACTAAGGTGATGGTGCTTGGGTGCCTTGGGGAAAGAAATTCTATGGGGACTCAATCTGAGGGAGTAGGGGGAAGCAAATATTGTTTAAAAAATGTGAAAAATGATAAATGTTAAAATAAAAAAATTAAAAATAAAGAAATAATAAAAAATTATTCCCATTTCTCACTATAATTAGAAACAGAAATATCTTGAACCCATTTTGAGATTTAATATTTTCCAGATTATTAGCACTTTCTCTTAAATTACATTTACTGAATTATGAAATTTAGTGGATGAAACTTAATCTTCAAAAGAAAATAGGAGGTGGCAAATCTTAGGGAGACTGACTCTTTATTCCCAGGGCCGGTAAAGTACTTGACTCAAATAGATTTCTTTATTATTATTTTTTTTAATCTGTTAGATTCCAAAAAGTGGTCCAGCCTTCCCCTTAACAGTAATTCTGCAAGGTAGAGCACATGCTTCACAGAAAGTATTTGATTTCAATAAGTTACTATTATGAATCAAGGAAAAGGATTCTAGTCCCTCTAGTTCATGTCTAGTTAGCTTGGTTTCCTGGCATGAACTCTCTCATAGTCAGGAAAGCACTGTTGGGAAGATATAAAAGAGCAGCTATAGCTATAGCAGCCCCTTTTTATTAAAAAAAAAAAAGAGGGTCTCCCTGGTGGGGCAAGGGGTTAAGCACAGCGCTATGAAGCTGTCCGCAGCCTCTGCAGCATGAGTTCAATCCCCCGCCGGCCAAGGAGCTACCCACATGGTTCAGCAGCTCTCTCCTGTCTTGCCCACTGCTCCCCTCAGTAATGTGTTTCAGTCAGTCTGCCTGTTCTGTTCCCCACTCTGTCTCTGGTGAATCTTCTCAGCCCCTGCACCTCTGGCCTGTACCCCAGCTCTTGTAGGCATAAATAAACAAATCTTTAAAATAAAATAAAGTAAAATAAAGATATAATACTATTTTATTTTTAACGAAACTTTAAATTTCTACCCAGGCATTCACCTGTATTTTCAGTTTTTTAAAACTCTGTTCATTCTTTCTCATCCCTCCCTACTTTATTGAGATGTAATGGACATTCTATAAATCTAAGGTGTACAGTGTGATGACTAACAGCACTTATGTCTTTACTCATTGTGAGACTCAAATTTCTAAGGCATGAAGCATTTATTTTTGAAAATTGAATTTTTACACAGTAGTTTTCTTGTGGGTGGTTTAATACCACCCAGAATCTCATGATGATAATTATGTTTCAGGATAAAGCAAGTAGGTATAAGAGTCTTCCTTGGTATGAATAGCTCAAATTTAATCAAATTTTCCTTGTATGTTACCTCCCCAGAAGGGAACACAACTAAAATATTTGAGAAATCATTTGCTAAGATATTTGGGAGAATCAAGCCAGCCTATCTACTTAGAGGAAAAGCTGTTGTGCATAGTGTTTTTTTAACCAACGTGTTAAATAGTAATGTGGAGTAATGGGAAAAATGGTAGCAAAGATATGACAAGATTGAATTCTGGTTTCTCACCTATCAAAACCTCTATTTTTTTTTTATTGTAAGAATGAGTATATTTTTTTCTCCCACCATAGCATTAATAGGAATATTATCATAGCAATTGATCAACATACTGGATAAAACTGTCTTCTAATAATGAGAGTACTTCAGAAGCATCTACTTCTAGATCATCTCATTAGACCTAGAGAAAGATTTTTCCTATAAATTTATCTGCTATGTCACCAATGCCAAATTAGTGATAAATAAGTTAATGAAAGATTACTGCATAAATGAAGTTTTTCACTCATAGTAGGGTGCAGGTAGTCAATGCCAGGACCCCCCCTGAAGTGAGGTCACTGCTTTTTTGTGATAAGAACAAATCTAATGAGTCCACTTTGCTGAGAACCTTCCCTCCAAGGAGGGAGATCATTATAAGACAAATCTTACTCCCAAACTATTTCTAATCTTTCTCCAGTAGTTTACCTGAAGTTTTGAATTCAAATACTAAGAATGACATTATTCATTGTCTTTGTTCTTTTAAAGAAGGAATTAAAAAACCCTAAACTCCGTACCTACAAATGCTTTAAAGGAGTAGGATGCAGAAACAAGCTTTAAATATTTGAATGAGGTTGAAAATTAGCAAAAGAATTGTTTGTTAACACATTTTGTTTGCTGAGAGTCTCATTATCTTTTAAGTACTATTTGCAAATAATGAGTGACTGTGAGTTGCTATGAAATGTATATTTTATTCTCAGAGTCCACGGGTACCTGGATGTTTGAATGCTGTTGAACTGAGCTCCTTGCCCTTATGTTACAATATGCATACTACTAGTAAAACTTATGTACAGCGATTCTTTTACAATTACAGTTTAACAATTTTAGTGTGTAAGGTATTGTCTTTAAAGCTTTCCTTCTTTTGTTTTTTTAGGAAGCTTAAAGGACTTGCTTGGAACCCCAAAGGGCACGCACTCCTCCACTTAAGCTTATGGACTGAGCACAGTCTGGACCTTGCATGGCTTCTGGGGAAAAAAAAATAAATCTGAACCAAACTGATGGCATTTTAAGCCTTTCATCCAGTTGCTTCTGAGCCAGATCAGCTGTAAGCTGAAACCTCAAGGAATAACAGGAAGACTCCAGGCACTCATGATACTTTGCATCTTTCCTAAACATGAAGCTTCCAAACTGTGTGACTTTGAAGACTGATGGATCAAGTCTGTAGCCTACAAAATGATGGGCACATAGCGAGAAACAGAAATGGTCCGTGCTTATTTTCACGTGAATGTGACTTTACAAGACTGAAGAAGCATACTGTAAAGTTTCATTTATATTATTTCCAGAAATAAGTTCATATAGCTGATAGTCCTACTAAAATCCATGGTCAGATTAGTTACCTTAGTTTTTTGGAGAATGGATTCAAAGTGAGTGCTTCTATTTGATGAAGGTCACTTTTTCATCATCTAAAGTAATTAGCTAGGTGGTTAGAATTGGCTTCAGACTGCCTGCCTCGATAGCGGGTTTAGTAGATGAAATTAATTGAATCAGAGATAAGTGTTTTCCAGAATGGACACTTTTGTCTTTGGCTACTATGTCATGAGCACCTGCTGGAACTGGTAGTGAAAGGGGCTTGAGTTAGGAAACAGGGTTGTGAAAGATCCATAAATCGCCCTGGATTAAAAACCACTTAATATGCATATCCTAGAGACCTGTATGCAAAGATTAGCATATTTCTGTGAAAATCAATTGATCTGGAAACATTTGTACTTCCATCCCTGTGATTGAACTTAGAAGATCCAGAATTTCTCTTTTACAGAAGTGTATTTATAAAAGTAACGATCCTTTATTTGCAGTATATCTTATACTAAAGGCTTTAGAAATGACAACATGTCAGCTTCCCCTACTACTGAAATATAACAGTGTTTAGGTGAACTGCCTGTAACTGTCCTAGTGAAGTTTGACCAGGATGCTACAGTGTTCCCTTTGATCATGTAAGTGTTGTTAGCACAATAATCTCTTAATTTAGCCAGGTGACTTAAATTTAAGTGCGTGGTATTTCTATGAAAGCACTCCATTCCTTACCACCTCGGTATTTATGCACTACAATTATCTCTAAAGCTAGGACAGAAATGAACCCAGTTCAGTCATGCACCAAGGGATGCTCATTTGCTCTGCATCTTTATGCCCTGCAGAGGAATTAATTGGGCAGAATTTATGGTTTTTCCTGCTTGAACCTACATGATCAGAACTGGCCTTTGTCTTTTAACTGATTATTATTAAGTTTGGTCCCATTTGCACTTTAAAAACAATAGATTTTTGAACATCAGTGTGTTATAGTACGCTAAGATATTTTGTTTCAGAATTGCTCTGCCCAAATCAGTGTCTTTTACTTAACATTTAAATTGAATATTAAAAATCTCTTTTCTATCTTCTCTCCCTTTCTAATGAGCTCTTTTCCTTATGGTTGGAACTCTCTCTGCCCATAGTTTCAGGTTCCTATAGGTGTGCATTTGCTTGCTTGTGTTTGGTACTTAATATGGCCTCAGTTCCTTTAACTGAAATTGGAAATTACAGTGTCTCATGGTAACACACAATCTTTCATGTCTACCTAGTACTAGTCACAACTTACTGATATTTTCTTTTTTCTTTTCCTTACTAGTTTTAAACTTTCTACTCACCAACTATTATGAGAATTGCCTTTAAGAGACATCTGAAATATTTAGGATCTGACCACAAGATGTTTATGAAAATGGAACAGTTTCCTTGAGTGGCTTCACTGTGTGATTGTTTGCAATCTGATCATTTTTATTATGACAGAGGGATGATCAAAGTAGAAGGTCATGGTTGTCCCCCTTTTTGTAATCCAAATATATATTTCCATATGCAGGGCCCTCATTAACTTCAAAAACAAACACTTGCTAAAGAAAGTTAGATCGATGGGAAGAAGACTTTGGTTTTAATTTTTTTTTCCAACTGATTTTTTTCCTCTTACTTGAGGCAATGTTGCTTTACAACATTGTATATGTTTCAGGAATTCAGTTTTACACTTCTTCAAATGTATGTTATCACACCACACCCACCACCAAAATAGCAGTAACCCTCCATCATAGTCCATTGGGAGAATGAGATTTGGCCAAATATCCTGAAACATCACTTCTGATGAGTTAGAGGAATATTTAGGGTTAAAAGTTGATTCTATTTTGACGTAGTTGATAATGCATTTGAAACATTCTGGGCTATTTTTATCAAGATGAAGACATTGTACCACCACCTACTATGAAAACATGCCATAATGCTATAATGTACTCTCTCAAGGAAAAAAATTCAATTTGTATTTCACCTTGTTGGAATATCTTATAGTGCTCAAATAAACACAAGTTGCAGGAGTGCTTATGCAGGAAATAACCATCAGGTAATAATATGACTGGGAGTGTAAAATCAGTGTGACTTTTAAGGTTGCAGAAACTCAGCAAGGGTGAAGAAAGCAACCACATAAAGGCATGGATTTTATAATTTTGTGTATATGGAATATATTTTTTCAAATATAGACTTTTCTACCTAGCTAAAGTGTTGTTACTATCACCTAAGTTAAGCACTATTACCTGTGCTAATAAAAAATAATAATAAAGAGAAAAGCAAAGGAAAAAAAAATCCATCATTGCTTTAAGGTAGTATGCTTGGATCAATTTAGATTTCATATTACTGTTTTGCATACTGGAATTTATAAATGTGTAAATGTTTGTTTTCTTATACAAATAGTTTTGTAATATCTTTTTATATTTGTGAATAAAACTGTTAACTGGTATTCTTATTTACATGTCCAGTAAGAAAATGATTGATGATGTGAATACAGCTCTTTTCCCCTCTTAGTCTCCATGTGAGGGTTTCACCCAGTCCTTCTGTTACAACCCTCTGTTTCCTCAAATATTATAAGCAAGATCTGAAATCCTAACTAGTGAAATGATTATATTTCTCAAGCAGTTCAAACTACTGAAAATTTCTCTGAGTTATTTGAGAAGCTTTGGTAATCAAGATTTTTTTTATAAGCTATTAATTGTTTCCTTCATTTTATGACAAAGAGAGAAGGTACTAAAGAAGAAGAAGTTTTATGTTCACTCTTTTTAGACATCAATAGGGTGTTCTCTCATGAAGAATGGACTAAAGAAATGAAGAAACTTACATACAGCAGCACCGGTCACTGTAAACGTTTATTTTTTCCTTCCTAGCTTAATTCCTTTCTTTTCCCTCCCCACCTCACCCCCACATGAGAAAAGCTTTTAAAGTTATTATTAGAGTCAGAGAGAGGACTTTAAATTTCCTGGGAAAAGTGAGTTCTTCTAAAGTGACACCATATTCTCTCAGCTGGTTAGTCTGTGGTGTTAAATGACACCATGGATTCCATGAGGGAAAGTCGTTAGCTCCTTTCCCCATCCTACCCCCATCCCCTGGCCCCTCAGCTCATTTAAACTTTTCCAGTGTCTTTGGAAACTGGCTGGCTTTAAAGGTATCATCAGCTCCTGGAGAAAAGTAACTCAAGCACAGGAAGTCTGAAGTATTCCATAGTTCATAAACGACATTTTCAATATTATTGCTGTTATTAAGGTTGTTTGCAGCTGGCTACATGTCACTCTGACTTTGCTTATCTGTCCTATTTTACCAGGAGAAGATAAAACATTTGGCATATTTAAAAACTCTTGACATCCAGGGCCTCCCTGGTGGTGCAGGTGGTTGAGCGCAGTGCTATGAGGCTGTCCACAGCCTCTGCAGTGCGGGTTCGATCCCAGCCGGCCAGGGAGATACCCACATGACGTGGCAGACCTCTCCTGTCTTGCCCGCTGCTCCCCTCAGCAGTATATTCCATCCGTCTGCCTGTTCTGTTCCCCGTACTGTCTCTGGTGAATCCTCTCACCCTCCCAGCACTTCTGGCCTGTACCCCAGTTCTTGTATGCATAAATAAATACATCTTAAAAAAAAAGACTTTTGCCATCTAATAAGGTGTGTAAATGCAGCTTAAATTTATCATTCAGTATCTTGAAACTAAACAGTAGTCTAAGGATTTCCAAAATTTTCTCTAATATCTTAAGAAATTTCAATAAAACCTGGTAGATGATTCTAGAGAGGTAACCATACAGAATCAAGTCAGCAGTTCACAGTAACATTGCTTAGGTCAGATTTCAGCCCCAGAAAGGTCACTAGGCTTCTACTGTAGAGATTAAGCAGGCTGGGGTCAGGTGCTTTCATAAACCACCGGTGGCATTTGAATTAGTGTGATTTATGGCTGCCTTCAAAGTAGCCTTTCCAAAAGACTTGAATTTTAAAAAGTTAACAGCAAAACCACTTTTTCTGGAACCATGGGTGGTCTTTTGAAGCAGGTTTCAATTATTAGTCTATAAAGAGAGTATTCTTTTTATCATAATTTCTTATGTCATTAACATTTAGAATGCTAGATAGCATTCTACTTAAGATAGAAATAGCTGTGTTCTGTGGGTGTTGTTTAGGGGTGAATTTAGCTAGCATAACTCTGCAGAGGGATTTTCTTTAACTTGGTTAACTATTTATAGTAAATAGAAGATCCACAGAACACTCTTTTAATAGTAAGCAAGGCACATAGCTGCCCCACAGCTGGACACATCACACATCAGGTGAGTTTGGAAGGTGGGGTTCCAGAAAATACTTCTCTCAGTTTATAAATGGATCAATCCCATAATTGTGGATTCTTGGATGTGCTCTGAATGGCTGACTGTTAGATATTATTAGTGGACTTTGGTGGTTAATTTTATGTGGCAACTTGACTGGATCAGGGTAGCAGGTATTTGGTCAGACACTAGTCTAGATGGTTTTTATATGAAATTAGCATTTAAATCAGTAGACTTTAAATACAGCAGACTTCTCTTCATAATGTAGTGGGCCTCATCCAATCAGCTGAAGACTGAGGTTCCCTAATTTTTTTTTAAAAAGGGAATTCTACCTCCTT